ATTTTAATAATTTATTTATTAATAAAATAATTTATTTATAACAGTAATTATTAGCATTACTGTAATGCCAAAAAAACCTCAGGTTTAATAAAAATTGGTCGGTATTTTATGCATCAAATGCATAAAATACAAATATTTAATGCGTAATAACGTGCCTTATTATATTTAATCTACTTAACCATATTTATGCTAATTAAATTATCATGAATTAAATGTAGTATCAGTGAATGCGTACAAAAATGGAATATTATAGTTACGAACCACACGATAAGTACAAGAAACAGAGTTTCTGTAGCCGGTAGCGCTCGTAGCAGAGTTGGTAAGGTACAGGACTCATAAGCAGAAGATCGTGGGTTCTAATCTCTTTATTGGAAAATGTTTTTTTTTTTTTTTTTTTAGAATTGTAAAAGAAAAAAATTCAAAGTCAAAGAAAAACTATTGTGGAAAAAAAAAATTAAAATTTGTTAAAAAATTATTTGCTTTGGGTAAAGGTGTTCTGAAGAGTAACAGGGCACGGTTGGCAGATATACATGTATAGTGAGGAGAGGGGAAGTGTGTAGAGAACAGAAGGTGAGGGGGACGGGGTAAGGGGAGAAACTTAAGTGGAAGAGACTTCTGATTCAAAAAAAAAAAATCTGTCGGTTTTAAAATTCCAGCCCCCCGAGTAACGCGACATAAAGAACTTCGTTCTAAAAAAAAGTTCTTTACATACACACAGTTTATAAGGTCCACTAAATATTCTTTTATCATAAAGTTAAATTATTAAACTAATCAAGTCATAAGTACTATATAACTGTTATACCAAACTAATGTCCTAATTAAAGTTATTATAATTAAATGTATGATTTTAATTATATTGTTGTATTACAGCAACAAATATGAGCTAATAATTAAAAAAACTGACACCATGCTCACAGCATAAGATATTAAAGCAGTATGAGGTCAGTTTTGGCAATCTTTGTTGGATAAGAACTGTTAGTTCTTATTAGTTCCTGGCTTTTTACAATGACAAATACAGATAAGATATATTTAAAAAATTTATAGTGCTCTTAATAAAAATTACGTTTAAAAATATTACACATCCAAAAACTATGAGTAAAATGTAAGAAGTATGCTGTTTTAGCGCATAACAATTATTATTTTATCAGGAGGGCCTCTAATCAAAACCTGACCTATACAAAAGTTGTTGGGCTTGGGGGGGCACAAAATTCAATGGTCCAGGTTTTCGCCTTACTGTTGGCAAATTTTTTTCAATTAAAAACACGAAATTTCTATTACAAGATCAGATTTAATATCAAATTTCAATAAGAAGGTCTTGTACAATTTTTGTACGATGCTTAAATTTTAAATATAAAATCCACTTGATTTTGATAAGAATAATCAAAAAACCAAACCTTATTCCTTTATTGTTTCGAAAACTATAAATTTATTTAAGAAATTACCAAACAAATTGTGTTCTTTAAATTTCGAGAAGAATTAAGCCTAAAATCTCTTCTATGGTCAGCTTAAGATTGGAGGATTTTTTGATAAAATATTAACAGTGATACGTTTTAATGAAATACCCCGTGTGGAAAATTAACACATAGTTACGATTTTATGTTGGTGCGCTCGTTATAATATTTATGTCTTTTTTTCCTTAAAAGTATTTAAAAATCCAATGTCTTATTTTGCCACAGCATCTGAGTATTCAATAACCAGCCAGTATTAAAAAATTAAGAAATTGATTTTTGGAACGTGGAACCACTTTTTTCAGATCTTTTTGCTTGTTAAATCAAACAATTTTATTTATTTTATGCACAAAATCACAAATGTTCCGGATTCATAAGATCAAACAATTTTTTTGAATAAACAATAATTGTGGAGTCCCCATGTTTAATCAGTTTATTTGCTGTATTCTTGAGAATAGGGTTGCTCGATTGTATTTGAAGTATTATATTTGACTGTTGTGACGTTAGATAATAATAATAGCATAAACATAATCTTATTTTCAGTTTTAAGGAACACCTGGTAGACTCATAACTGCTTAGAATGATTTTATTTGCTATATATGTGATATTAGAATTCGTTATATTACATGTGGTCAAAGCTTCGGCTATTGTTATAATATATTATGATGATGGTACAATGGTAATTTTTTACTCGTCTTTCAGAACACTCAGTGGACTCCTAACAGCTTAAAATCTTTATTTTAGCTAACTTTTGAGGTAAGCGTTCGTTAATTATACTTGTGGTGATATAATATTGTTATTATATGTAGTAATAAATAAAGTTTTACTGTAAACCCGTAATTAAAAGTTTAACTGAATAAATTTAATTTCAGCTCCAGAAGCGTTTTGGAGAAGAAAAATTAATAAATATTCAGTTTGGAAGTCATGTCCTCTGTTTTTGGCAGCCATATTAGTACTGCCATATAAGACTAACGAATTTTGCCACTTGATATTTTAAGCGAAGGGTTTTACTTTGAATTTAAATTATCTGCTGACTTCTATTAACTTTTTTATTTTTGGGTGGCATGCAATCTCACGTCAAAAAAAAATGCCCCATATATATTACATTGCTTATACATTAAAATACTAAGCTTCAATTTTTTAAAAATTTGTTACAACACTTTGCTTTGATTTATTAATCAATCATGTAGCAGACAATTGGAAAAAGCATGATAATGGCACCGAAAATGTATGAAATATTGCTATTGGCTGATGTCTATGAGGGGTTGATGTGCAAAGTGCATAGATAGGTGAAGTCTTATTTATGTATACCATTTGTTAGACTTTTATCAACAAAATATTAAATGATCTTGTACGTTTGGATAAGTTCAAAAAGAGAAAATGTTAAGAGTCCTGTCTTACACCCAAATTTACTAATAAATATGATCCTGCATTATTATAAGGCGAAATAAAATGACCTTAAGACAATGTTGTAACAAACTTTAAATAATTTTATGTCGTGACTTAGTAGTAGCTGCATTCTAACACAATCTTTGTTGTACTATTGCCTGCGATAACACTAAAACTTCTTTATCATTTTACCTACTTTATTTGATGAATAACAATGACTATTGCTAGTGTTGGGGCTCCCTTATTTGTGTCAATTAACTACAGTATGACAGCAATGTTTTTTTCGTTAGATATTTAATACTTTTTCAGGTTGCTTGTTGCTGTCGTTGCAAAAACCTATGAATCTTGTTATCATCTTATTTTTAGCCTAATAAAGCTGACATACTCAGTCAGTGAAACGTTGTTATATATGATATAAAAATAAAATTACATGCCTTTTAATTACTTTCTACTTTCTCTCTCACTCCCGACAGATAACTCGTATTTACTATCCTAGCAAGTTACATAATCAGAAAGTAACATATAGAGCTGAATCAATACATAGATTTTGCATATAATAGTTCAACTAATAATGACATATATTCTAGGATAAACTTTATGTGATAATTGCTTAACTGACCCTCGTTTGTGGCAAATTTTTTTCAAGCTGAATAAATTGAATTTAAATTTTCTGTAAAAATTACTTTCAGAAAAAGTTAGAAAGACACCATCTTTAAGTAGGGGGAGTCTGTTGTAAAAAAAATTATGGTAGACTATATAGACTAGAAAGACATTTAGTTTGAATACAATTCATTAATTTAATTGTCAATTTTAAATTCAGCTTACTTTTTTTCCATATAATTCCTACCATAATTTAAAAATTACAGTATTATGCCTTGTGTTGTAAATTTGTTATTTAACACATTAGACTCTTGCTTACCTTAACTTAAAGAGCTTATTTAATTGTTACAGCTTCTTTTTTTTTGTTTAAATATTGTAATGCTAATTTTTATTGTGTTGCCTAAAGTCTAACAAAAATAACTTATTCCTAATTATCATACAATCATTAATACATGCATCTTAATTTTTATCTACTGCTTCTAACTACCTATATTATCATCACTTTAATTTATATATGCGTTGTATGTACTGTGAATAAATTTTATAATCAAGTTCTGATAATGCTTACAGCGATACTTCTTTGCGAAACGGGGGAAGGGGACAAAAAAATTGCAGATAAAGTTATAGAGGAATCATAAAAAAAGCTTAAGATTTTTATTGTCGTTAAAGAGGCAAAAAATTTATACGTTTTAGAACAGTAAATTTTAGGAGCTCAACAAAAAACACTACATCATTTAAGTATAAACATAATTCTGGAATGAACAAACATTTTCGGTACATTAACTTACACTGCATTTGCTAGGAGATTTTATTCATCTTCAACTTACGCTTGTGCCATTTGTTCTTACCATCTATGTATTGTATACACATTTATTAGCTAAAAAGTTTTTTATTTACTGCTTGTTTTCAGTTTCATGAAGATCTCTTAGTTGACATTTATAAGACTATGCTTTCGTTGAGCGTCATGGATACAATACTTTACGAATGTCAAAGGCAAGGTCGAATTTCATTTTATATGACAAATATCGGTGAGGAAGCAGTGCAAATAGGATCTGCAGCAGCATTATTGCCAGATGATTTAGTATATGCACAATACAGGGAAAGTGGTTAGTGGCATGGTTGTTGTTACTCACATATATTTTTTTTTTTTTTAAGATTTACGACGTATTATAACGCGCATTTTAAATTTTTCTAACTGTTTTTATAGTGTGTTAATTAACTATATTCGTTTAACTTGAGTTATTCATCGTTTGCTGAAATTAAACTTACCTGTACAATATGATATTTTGTCCAATCTTATAAAAACAAGATGAAAAATTAACATATAACTTTATTACATAACATAAGATTATTTATTACCTAATAAGTTATATTATAAATAATAAATTATAAAGTTTTTGAGAAATAATAAATACGTTTAAGCAGTCAATTTTACCATCAAAATTTAGCACATAATACAGCGCAACTAAGTCAGTTAACTGTAGTAAGATAATGGAGTTTGTATATGGTTAATAAACATTTAAATAATACAAATTAAAGAGAAATTATAACTTTACTTTATTGTAAAATTAAATTCTGTTTTCATGAAAAAAATTTTTTTAAAGCATTAAAAAAGTTTCTTAAAGTATTTAAAAGAATTAAAAGTTCACTGTAGGTGTTTCAAGTCTTGCATTTCAATTCGGCAATAAATACAAAATATTCCACTTGCTCCTGGTGTTTTCAACAATTAAAATATTTTATGGCATTGTTACAGGATTTTTCATTTTTATATACTTCTCTTACATTATCACACATATTTATAACTATAACTTATCACGGTGAGATATTGTCAAGCCATCTCAGGTAGGCTGAGTGAATAGAAAAAAGAGACAAAGGGGGAGCATAGGACAGGAGGGGAAGGAAGAAAACGGGAGAACAGACGTGAGTTTTGGTAAGATATGCTTGGGCCTGTCAGCACGCGTGATGCATTTTCCCTAAGATTTGTTGTTATAGTTACTGCTATTGTGGCATTTTAAGCGGGTTTGCCTTCCCAGCGTTTTTTGAGAGACTTTTTGGTGTGATTTTTTTGTCCTGCAAAGTGAGCACTTAATACCGGAGCTAGGTTAGCCAGGTGACAATCCGCGTTGGATGGCTCTCTGTCTTGATCAGCAGGGACGCCTGCTGACTCGAGCTTCTGTGCTCCTTCTCAATGCCACGACGACCAAGATAGACAACGTTTTTGAAGAAAGTGACTATAAGTACCTGTCAAGAGGTAGCTTTTCCGAAGGGTAGTGGCCTTCGTTTAGCCTGCCTCGGTCTGCCCGTGTCGCAATTTTGTAACTCGGGCCTGGTGCTTGCCCATACAGTATGCACACCAGATACAAAAATTTTTATTCTGTGTACGCTGCATTTAAAGCGTATCGTACATAAACATATTTTACCTGGATTCTCATGAAAGTTATTTTTGACATTAAACAAAGGAAAAAAAAACATGGTAACGTTGTAGGTTGACTCTTTCATTATAAATTTTTTACAGGTTTGAACTTCTCATTAGGTTTGCGTACTTTGTTGAAGTACAAGTGTGTGAATAATTAATTTGTCACAATTTTTTATAGTCTTTTGAAAGTTGATAGTAATAATCTCCGTTTACAAAATTGTTACCATAACGTTACGGTGTGTTTACAAGCCCTTGACCACATTTATCGTATTTTTTTTTTCTTGGTAAACATATAGTTGCAAGTGTTGCAATCATTCATTAATGAAACGTAATGTTAGAAATTCTCATGATGTGGAAAAATGTGATAGAAAAATTAATATGCTAACTTCGTGTCAATTTTAAGAATTATTATTTTCTATTTCGTATTTGAATCTAAAAGCTTGTATTCGAAATTAGGATAGAAAACTTTTTAATTAATTTGTTTCCTTATTACAGTTATTTTTTTACATTGTAAGCATAGCGTTATTTTTTGAAAAAAATGTGTAATTGTGTATCGAGCAACACAAAAAAATTAACTATTTAACGAAAGTATAAAACAGAAAGAGAGATGGTTTCTGAAATATAATATCCATAGGAGAAGAAAGTCTCATGATCCTTATGATCAGAACTCGAAAATGATTGGTAGGAATTATTTAGTAATACTTGTAGCACTATTTTTGCAACTTTAATTGTTCTACTTTGAAAGTGGGGTCAGTTAATAATTACAACCATAATACATTAATTGTATACAAGTATTAATAAATGTATTTCTATCTTTCATAATTTATGTGCTACAATTAAATGGTTAACCATAATTTTTATAAGCATAAAAAAAAACATACAAAACTTGTTACAAAACTCAAGGTGAATGTCTCTACACAACGTGTTTATTAAGTTGTGTGGGTTGTGATTAAAACCAATCGTAAAGGATCGATTGAAATCACAGCATCTACCCTCAGATATTGTATAAAGGTGAGGGGGTACGGGACGCAGGCGCATACAGGCTTTTTTATGCATGTCCAGCCAAGTGGGATGTTCGTCTGTATTTCTTATTTGTCATGGCAACATATACCTGTTCTTTTTTTTAAATTTTTGATGACATTGGGAGCTTAAACTTTTGCTTTTGAACCACGACAACTTTTGAAAGTACCTGCTCAACTTTCTATAAATACCCAAGTAAGAAATTATACTTCTATAAAATTTTATGGCAGATAATATAATTATCAATGTAAAATTCTATAAAACGATGTTATATACAAAGGTGGTGCAATTATCGCTGGAATGAGTATACCTACTTCAGTCGGGTGTGGTTTTAATAAATATTTTAATATTTAGCAACTGAATAATTATAAACAATATATATAATGGCACAATACAATAAAAAACAATATGGAGACTTGCCAGTACAAGACTGTGTACTTTCATCGAATCCTCCGATGGTTTCAAAACAACTTCCTACTGGCTATGCTGATTGTATCTGTAATGTCACGCTCTAATTTATCACATACGCTCACACACTTTTTCCTCGTCCAAATTAAATATTCAAAATATGATTGCATCTTAAAAATTAATACGAACCATCCTGTCGTATCGCTGTCTTCGATAGCATAGAAGTACATGCCAGTAAATGTCTCTTTAGGTCGCTCACCACATACGTTTTGTTGACAGATATTATTTAAGCATGAACCGTACACTAAAAATACCATAATCAATACCCAAAAAAATGGCAGACCGTTTAACCCTTTTCACATGTTGAATTTTAAAACTTTGCAATTTAACATGTAACTTTATGGAAAATCACTTAAAATTGCATTTATAAGATCTGTATCAACCCCCTCCCCCATTTTCATTTGTATGAAAAATTTCTATAGATAAACCTGTTTTATTTTTGAATAGATCTATAATTTATCTTTTTTCTTCATTACACAAGAAAGAAGGGGTCAAGTATGCGTAAAAGCATGTATGTAATCTCATCCATCTTAAAAAAAAATTCCAGCGTTGCTGCACATATTTGCGTTCCTCCCACCTCCCTGAATTTTGTTCTTAATCATAAAGAAAAAGTTTTGAAAGAAGAAAACGCAATAAAAATTAACTATTGTACTTAAACAATCGTTTATTTTTTATAAAGTAACAAATTAATGGTAAATGAATAAATGTTAACTAATGCACGGAAAAGCTACTCTGCTAATAAATATACTTACTTCTATGTTTTGGAAAGAAACATGAACCAAAAAAATTTATTTCATCAAATGACTTATGTATTTGATGTAAAATAAAACTACATTAATGAATATACAACAAACAAGAATTTACATTGAAATAAGTTACGATTTCTAATATCGAATGAAGCTATTGATTTTCCATTGTCAGGCATGCTCATAGCAGAGTGGGTAAAGAGCGAGCCCAGTGTGCAAGAAAATGGGCGTTCTCTCTTTGAAAACTTTTTTTTTTTTTTTTAGAAATTTGTTATGAGAAATAATAAATAAAATTCAAATTGTGTGGTGTAGTGTGATGCAATAATGTTGGGTGGTGTAGAGGGACCGGAAGTAGGTCAAGAGGGGTGGGGCGAAGGGGGAGAATGAAGCAAAATCCACTTTCGTTACACTTTTTCTCAAAGTCACTAATCTGTTGATTTGCTCTATAGGGCAGAACGTGCCTATGGAAGTATATCTTTAAAGATTATTTGATCTGTTCAATGATAATAATAATATGTTTAACAATAACAAATCGTACGACTTCAGCAAAATTTTTTGCTACTTTCGAAAGAGATCCGTTTGATTGGATTGGATTTAGTAGACGTCACTAGACGTGACACGCCCCCCTAAGTTCTTACTCGCCACGCGAGTTCGTGCCTGGTAAAATCGGGTCGCGTTTAACAGATATATATTTTACATTATTTGAATAAATCTAGGATTACATTTGCATGGAATGTTGTCTTTACATATTAGTATTTCATATTACAATGTGAGTTGATAGCTAACAATTATCTTATTTTCTAATGGTACAGTTAGTGATGTGCAGTGTTTTTTATATGCTTACTTATTTATTTATTCAATAGAATTGTTTTTATAATTTTTTTTAAATTCATTTATTTGCTATAACTATATTTAAAGCTATCATCTAAGCAATAAAATTTTTTTTGCTATCGGGAATGACCTTAATTTCTAATGTAGGTACGATATCTTAAAAATATTTTTACAGTAGATTACGATGGTATTAGGTTAATGGAGTGAAGTGGCAGTAATAATGACATGCAGATGAGATGGTAGGAAACGGTAGTTTTCCTACGAGTTTGAAAAGTCTCTGTTTGCGAACCGAGAGGTTTGCGGCCCGAGCCGAAGGCGAGGGACTTAACGAGGTTTGTAAAGGAGACTTTTCGAACGAGTTCCGGAAAACTGCTTTTTCGCCCGAGGAAGTACTAGGTTCCCAAAACCACCCGAGGGTGGAAAAAAAGGTTTTTATCGCTGGACTACGATGGTAAAGTCAAATTTGTTCAAAGTGAAGTTACAGTAACGGCAAAGATCATTATTTAGCTTCTGGTGGTGTACTGGGTTAGGGCACTGAAACTGGCATCTCGCAATGGTGTCGTCTCCATTACCTTAAAAATGATGCATTGTACATGTGCAGTAGTCTTTCCTGAGTTTAATGTCA